AGGGCGGGGCGCGGCCGCAGTGCAGAGTCCCGAGCCGCGGACGTTACGTAAAAGTCCCGGCCGCCGGTTTTAGGTGGTTGCGGTCTTGGGGGCTTGTGTCTCCGGGGTTGGGGCAGAGCTGACTCTCGTCCGCGGAGGAACATTAGTGGGCTGTGGGGTTTGTCTTCGAGAGGCGCCCGCCTGAATCCGTCTCTTCCCGGGCAGGTCGCAATGGAAGAAGAGATCGCCGCGCTCGTCATTGACAATGGCTCCGGCATGTGCAAAGCTGGCTTTGCTGGGGACGATGCACCCCGAGCCGTGTTTCCCTCCATCGTCGGGCGCCCCCGACACCAGGTGAGTGGAGGGCACCGCGGGGCTCCTGGGTTCTGCGTTGCGGGGTGGGCTCGGTGCCGCCGAGGCTGACGGGTCAATCCCTGCAGGGCGTGATGGTGGGCATGGGCCAGAAGGACTCCTACGTGGGTGACGAGGCCCAGAGCAAGCGCGGCATCTTGACCCTCAAGTACCCTATCGAGCATGGCATTGTCACCAACTGGGACGACATGGAGAAAATCTGGCACCATACTTTCTACAATGAGCTGCGCGTGGCCCCAGAGGAGCACCCGGTGCTGCTGACCGAGGCCCCTCTGAACCCTAAGGCCAACAGAGAGAAGATGACTCAGGTGAGGCTCGGCTGACGCCCGCGCTCCCGTCGTTTCCCTTGTCATTTTCTGCCCAGCTTGATTTCTGACATTTAAGTGTTTCTTTCGCTGTTCCAGGCTCTGTTCCTCTCCCGGCATTTCCTCCCTGAAGTCTCCAGGTTTCTCATTTGGTTTCTGCCTGCGTTCTTTTCTTTTCTTCACACATCACACTGGCATGCGGCATGTTGTGGCGTGTGAGCATGGGGTGGCCGTGGGTCTCTGTCCTTGACTAAGTCGCCCCTTGTTCCTCCTCAGATTATGTTTGAGACCTTCAACACCCCGGCCATGTACGTGGCCATCCAGGCCGTGCTGTCCCTCTACGCCTCTGGGCGCACCACTGGCATTGTCATGGACTCTGGCGACGGGGTCACCCACACGGTGCCCATCTACGAGGGCTACGCCCTCCCCCACGCCATCCTGCGTCTGGACCTGGCTGGCCGGGACCTGACTGACTACCTCATGAAGATCCTCACCGAGCGTGGCTACAGCTTCACCACCACGGCCGAGCGGGAAATTGTGCGAGACATCAAGGAGAAGCTGTGCTACGTCGCCCTGGACTTCGAGCAGGAGATGGCCACCGCCGCATCGTCCTCTTCCCTGGAGAAGAGCTACGAGCTGCCCGATGGCCAGGTCATCACCATCGGCAATGAGCGGTTCCGGTGTCCGGAGGCGCTGTTCCAGCCGTCTTTCCTGGGTAGGTGTTGTGAGCTAAAGTTTTCTCCTCTTTTCATCCTGGGCAACTCGGCACCACTAAGGGAGGGCTTTGTCCCCTAGGCATGGAATCTTGTGGCATCCATGAGACCACCTTCAACTCCATCATGAAGTGTGACGTGGACATCCGCAAAGACCTGTATGCCAACACGGTGCTGTCTGGCGGCACCACCATGTACCCCGGCATTGCCGACAGGATGCAGAAGGAGATCACCGCCCTGGCACCCAGCACCATGAAGATCAAGGTGAGTTGAGGGGTTGATGGCCTTCTGCCTGGCTCTGGAGGCCTGACTGGGGGCGCTGTGTGAGCTGAAGCCATGCCTGGCTGTCTTTGCAGATTATCGCACCCCCAGAGCGCAAGTACTCAGTGTGGATCGGTGGCTCCATCTTGGCCTCACTGTCCACCTTCCAGCAGATGTGGATTAGCAAGCAGGAGTACGACGAGTCGGGCCCCTCCATCGTCCATCGCAAATGCTTCTAAATGGACTGAGCAGATGCGTAGCATTTGCTGCATGGGTTAATTCAGAAGTATAAATTTGCCCTTGGCAAATGCATACACCTCATGCTAGCCTCACGAAACTGGAATAAGCCTTTGAAAAGAAATTGTCCTTGAAGCTTGTATCTGATATCAGCACTGGATTGTAGAACTTGTTGCTGATTTTGACCGTGTATTCAAGTTAACTGTTCCCCTTGGTATTTGTTTAATACCCTGTACATATCTTTGAGTTCAACCTTTAGTACATGTGGCTTGGTCACTTCGTGGCTGAGGTAAGAACGTGCTTGTGGAAGACAAGTCTGTGGCTTGGTGAGTCTGCGTGGCCAGCAGTCTCTGATCTGTGCAGGGTATTAATGTGTCAGGGCTTGAGTGTTCTGGGATTTCTCTAGAGGCTGGCAAGGGCTCCTGAACCAGTTTCTGCCCTGCCAGTCTGTCAGGGTTGGAAAGTCCAAGCCATAGGACCCAGTTTTCTTAGCTGACGTTTTCTGCCAGAACACCGTGGGCTGTTACTTGCCTTGAGTTGGAAGCGGTTTGCATTTACACCTGTAAATGTATTCATCCTTTTAATTTATGTAAGGTTTTTTTGTACGCAATTCTCAATTCTTTAAAGAGATGACAACAAATTTTGGTTTTCTACTGTTATGTGAGAACATTAGGCCCCAGCAACACGTCATTGTGTAAGGAAAAATAAAAGTGCTGCCGTAACAGATGACTGGCTCCTGTTTGGGGAAGTAGCAAGTGGGCTGGGAAAGGATTGGGTGGTCTGGTGGGGGGGGGGAAGGTGCTGCTTATCTTGGCTTCATGAACTGATGAAAAAATGGCTTACAATAATTTGAACAATTCGGTTTCTTCCAAACGGAAAGTGCAAGAACAAAGCGGCCCTAGTGAGTTTGGGTGTTGGAAATCACTGAGGCAGCATCGTAAGGCTGGGAAGGAAGTCCTGAGATGGCTTTTCCCATTTTTGGGAAAAACTAGATAACTTGGTGACATTTTGGGTAAATATTTGGCATAAAACTGCTAAGAACCATTTGAATCAGCAGAGGCCTTCCTAGCAGTTTCCCCCCAGCCCTCAGGTGGACATGGGATATGAGAGTTTCATTTTGTGTCAAGAGTGCAGCAGTCATGGAGTTGGCTAATTACTGAATCCTGGAACTCAGTATCTGCCACACCTGGTGTAAGTGGCTCTGCGAGTTCCGTTTGTACTTTCAGCTTTTCTCCCCGCATTGCCAGGGGTGATCTTCTGTAGATGGGATGGGGAGTCCAATGCATAGCTCCTCTATACTGCTTACAGCTGCAGAATAGTCATTTGGAGGTTGGGTCAGGGAAGGGAGATGACCAATTGAAAAATGTTCTTCCAAAACTATTTCATGTTAAGTCGGGTCAAGGGATTATTTCTGCTGTTGGGAGGTAGATTTTACCCAGGCAGAGTTAGTGGTGCTTCCTAGCTCCCCCTCTGATACGGGGTTGGGGGAGAGGAGGCTCTCAAGCTGGGTGGGGGTGGGGGTGGAGGCAAGCATGACAAATTACAAGTTTCCCCAGCTCCAGGCTCCCACCCTACTTGGTTCTGTGACCTCACATCACAGCATGACTTCTCAGCGACTAATAACCTGCAAAAAATAGAAATTCTCCTTGTCCTGTGAAGCATTGCACTTACAAGACAAACTAAGAGATGCTCATGGACACTGGGCATCAGCAAATGCACATTAAAACAGATGCCAGTTTATATCAGATGAGCAGAAACCAGGAGATGGGTAGTTGTGAGCATTGGCCAGGGCACAGGGACCAGGGACAGCCACGCGCTCTCCAGGCGTTGGAAGCTACAGCTCTTCTGGAGTGCCCAGTGCAGGTCTCCAGCCAAAATGAGAGGATGAGTACATCCTACAGCTCCCAAGCCCCGGTCCTGGGCATACACCCCAGAGGAACCGCAGGGACCAGGACATGCAAGCTGCTTGTGAGGGCGGTGGGTAAGTGACGTGGCAGATGTGCACCTGCGGCAGTGACGCGCTGAAGCTGGGTCTCAGTAACACTGTTGAATGGAGGTTATGAACAGAGTGAGCTGTATTTCACAGCTCCATTTATATAAGTAAAAACAGATCCAAAAGATTATGTATAATGCCAGCACTTTGCAAGGCTGAGATGGAAGGATCATCTGAGCCCAAGAGTTTGAGACCAGCCTGGGCAACTTGGCAAGACCTTGTCTCTACAATTTTTCTTTTTTTTTTTTTTTGAGATGGAGTTTCCCTCTGTTGCCCAGGCTGGAGTTCAATGGCGTGATCTTGGCTCACTGCATCTCCGCCTCCTGGGTTCAAGCGATTCTCTTGCCTCGACCTCCCGAGTAGCAGGGATTACAGGCATGTGCCACCACGCCCGGCTAATTTTATATTTTTAGTAGAGGCGGGATTTGTCCATGTTGGCCAGGTTGGTCTCGATCTCCCAACCTCACGTGATTCGCTCGCCTTGGCCTCCCAAAGTGCTGGGATTACAGACATGAGCCACTGTGCCCAGACATATATATATTTTTTGAGATGGAGTCTCACACTGTCACCCAGGCTGGAGTGCA